CCATTGTGGCCCTGCCCTTCCCCCGTGGGTCATAATTTGAACAATTTAGAATCTACACTACCCCAGGATGCCTCCACATAAGTTTCAGCTTTACTGGCCCAGTGGTTCATGAGAAGAAGATTTTCAAAATTTTTCCCATATATTTTTATGTAAAATTTTGATTCCCCATTGTGGCCCCTCCGTTCCCCCAGGGGTCATGATGTGAACAATTTACAATCTACACTATACCAGGATGCTTCCACATAAGTTTTAGCTTTTCTGGCCCAGTGGTTCTTGAGAAGAAGATTTTCAAAGCTTTTTCCAAAATATTTCTATGTAAAACTTTGATTCCACGCCCTTCCCCCGTGGGTCATAATTTGAACAATTTAGAATCTACATTATACCAGAATGCTTCCACATAAGTTTCATGTTTTCTGGCCCAGTGGTTCTTGAGAAGATTTTTTAATGACCCAACCCTATTTTTGTCTTTTCTAGATTATCTCCCCTTGGGATGGGATATGTCCCTTCAGTTTAACAATTTAAATTCCCCTTTACCTAAGGATGCTTTGTACCAAGTTTGGTCAAAATTGGCCCAGTGGTTCTTGAGAAGAAGTCGAAAATGTAAAAAGTTTACAGAGGGACGGACAGACAGACAGACGGACGGACAGACAGATGGACAGAGGGACGAACGGATGACGGACAAAATGTGATCAGAAAAGCTCACTTGAGCCTTCGGCTCAGGTGAGCTAAAAAGGAAAGATAACTCTGCAACAGAATTTAAAGAGTAATAATGTTTTTAGAGGAATCTCCCTTTTCATAAGTATTTTCCATTTTTCATATTTTATACATAATCATATTTTTAAAAATCATAAGCTGGATAGGATGTTGCACAGCAAAGAACAAAGTACGTTATTGGCTGATTTTCGCCGAACTTTGAAGTAAATTGAGGTTTATAACACTCAAAAGTTGAGAACTTTATCTTTCTAACAATATATAACTTGTTTATATCTAATTACGTGTAACACATAGCAAATTATGATAAAAAGTTGTGTTTGAGCGGTAGTAACGTCAGTTCCGACGTCCATTTTGCTAGACGACGTCAATAACGTACATGTCTCTCTTGCGTTATACAAAGCTCCTATATGTATTAAAAATGACGTGCAATTGTCTGTAAAATAGAAATCAATCAATTCAAAGATATTTTAAGAAATTCATTTGCAATGAAGTTAACATTATATCATATGGGCCATGGCAGAGATTGGGGTAGGAATGACAGTATTTTACATGAATATAATATGTTTTACGGTGTGACCGTTGGGGCGAGCGCAGTTTATTTACTATCATAAACCTACACACGTACTGTCTATCATTCAAGAAAAAGAAAGCAAAAAGAATAAAACAAAACAACAAAGAAATCATTTCCCAATCATCGGGATCAAGATTTGAAAATTCTCGGAAGTTTCCGACAAAATCGTAAATATCCGAACCGTTGAAGTGACGAAAGTCTGACGTCAGAATGAGCTAAAACATTTTGTTGACTTAGAACGCAATCTTTAGTTTTATGGAAAAGAGATTGCATTAATAAATTGTTCTTTTCATGTAAGTTGCTTTGTTGAAGCCGAGTTTCACGGAAGCAACCGACATAACTTTCGTCAAAATTCGTAAGTTTCCGGTGACGTCATTTGTATCTTTTCCGAAGGGCAAGGTGAAGGCCGGTGTTGTGTCATGTGGGTATTTTTTTGAATAAGGTAGGGCAAAATCATTTCGTTAAGATTTCGGTAAGAAACAATGTTCCTTTAATTTTTTTACTATTTTTGATTTATTCGCGCAAAGGTCATTGGGTAGTGCGGGAATTCTGGGAAGGTTTCACAGAGAAATTTCGCTGACGTATGTACAGATTTCAATCCGAATTTCCTCTGTTCATACACGTTAGTCTATTGAGCTCGCTTCGCGACGCTCGCTGCGCTCGCTATAATTAATGCATAGCAAATCATCCGACTGTCTGCATAGGACACAAAAAAACTACCCATGATTTTAATTTTTTTCCAGGAGTTCGAACCACCTCAAATTTCTTATTAGATACACCGTTACATACCTATATGTGAACATCCTGTATATTTTTTTCCCAAAATTTGAGGTTCTGGAAAGCGGTGAATAATAAATAATGGTAGCTATAGTATTTGAAATCAATCTAAAAGTGTCATAGAGATATTTTTTTTCAAAGACAATGCAAAAAAACAACAAACAAACAAACGAACAAACAAAAAAAAAACAGAACTTCAGGAACTGTTGACATTCATTTTTTCGTTGGACTAAGTCCGATTTTATCCTTTAAATATTTATCGAAATAATTATAAATTGGAAACAACGGATGGACCGTCTTGACGATGATGCACGTGTTGTTGATGAATCTTGGTACTATAACTAGTATTTACATTAAACAGAATTTACCCGTGTCACATTGGTTATATTCATTTTTTAAATTATAAACTAAGTATATTTGTAAAGTTCTCCGTATGATTACTTTTTTTTCCCAAAACAAATCAATACTATGCACACGATGCTGGAGAGTCGATCTTGTACACACGTAAATTATTTGCATGAAATAAAACTTTCAATGGAACACAGTGGGAATAAACGCCCATTTTATATTGTTAGCGGGCCCGTGTTACTGCCCCTTCCCTTCTTTTTTTCCGAGACTAGCTTTCTGCTGTTGATTAACAATGTGAGTATGGTTTTTTTTAAATCCAAAACCCGTTCCTCATGACCTTCCTTTTTGTGTTGCATTACGATCACCCCCCTCCCTTTCCAACGTTTAATACGCAATTGAAATCTGTCTTATTGAAAAATGGCAGCGGTATTACACAGGTGGCGCACTGCACAATGCTCAAATGTTTCGAACCTGGGGACACTCCTTTAGAAACGCATGATAAATAAATATCTACATAATAAGAAAAAAAAATCTGGTTTTGTGTCTATTACTCTTTTAACCTTGGAAATAATAATGGACAGAAAACCCATCTTTTTCGACTGTACATGGTTTTCAGGTCTTCGGTATATTTAAAGGGCAGAAGCGATTTTTACTAGATATTGTATTAGAAAAATAAAGCCCGATGGGAAATAAATTTTTGTCAAACTGACACTGTGTTTTTCTATTTGTGAGCAAAGACGAGAAATTATCTTAGAAATGTGGATATTAAATCTTAGAGATCTTTAGTTACTCGAATACTGCTTACGTGTACGTATAAAAACTTTATGCATTTATTTTATACTTAATCATATCTTAAAAATTAAGATATTTTATACATCTTTTGAAAATTCAAATGATAATCAAAAATTCAATTCTGGTAATTAGGGCATTCCCCACAGACACTTGCTTCGTATATAGAGCACCCCCTCCTTTCTCTTTCCACGAGTTACTTAGATCATGCAGTTTCAGACTCCCTCCGCTTCAATAAGGTCGAATTTTTTTTTATCAATCATTATTCTTCTTTAAATAGATCGCATTGACAGCAATTTGTCTTCTTCTGTAATAAATCGTTTCAGACTTCCGTTGTCGAGTCTCTTTCTTGTAAACTAGCCCCGTAACATCGTTTTTGAAAGTGGGGGGGGGGGGGCAGAGAAAAAAAAACTTACTTGAAAAAATTGACAAAAGAAAAAGAAAAAAGTTGCCAAAAGCCGATAATTGTACTTCCGAGATGGGGACGGGGTAGGGGGGGGGTGTAGAAGCCAATTTTTTTTCTTCAATGCAGATTTCCATCAGTACCGATTTCTTTTAACTACAATGCTACATTTTCCTTATATCACAAACAGCTGCCCCCCCCCCCCTTGCTACGTTCCTGATGTATTACTCAAACATTACCTCAAGGAATAGTTTAGAGGAAATCACATTTTGTGGGAAAGGGGGGGGGTTGACAAGGGACTTTCCTTATTCAATTTTCTTTAGATTCATGGCTTTTATAACTTGTTACAGGGTTTCACAAGGGGATGGGATGTTTTCCAATGTGATTTTTATACCCCCATGAATATGGCCGGGGGATATAGTGTTTGTCATGCCCGTCTTCCGTCTTTCTGACCTTCCGTCACACTTTAATTTGAGTTTAGCGCTGTTCAGAGCTAAGTTTCAAAGAAACTATCCAAGATATTTTCCTCAAACTTCATATGCTGATAGCTATAGGTATTGATAAGAGCTATGCAACTGCTAGTACATGTAGCTGGTGATTACTATATACTTGTAAAGTCTTACTACTTTTGAATAAAAGCATAACTTAAAAAGATTATTTAAAATACATAATTATGTATGGTTTATCTTTATCAGGTCACCATCAAATGCACATATTGAGGAAGGATTATAAAGTTTTGTACGTACATTCTGAACCATGCAATCAATGAAATTCCCGACACTAGAATGCATGGTTCATTCGTAATTTAAATGGATTTTATAAATTAGAAAGATAATTATAAACATATGTGGATTTCATCTTGTATGATTTTGTTTGTGTTCACATGTTAAAACAGCTGTTGAAATTATTCGTTTCCTACGTAAATACATGTACCTTGTAAAATCAGCGTAAAATAATAAACGCTAATGTTGCATAATTTTCCTTTCCGGACTTACTATTTATAAAAAATGAATACTGTTCCCACTCATTAACCGACACGAAATTAATACTGGACGGAGATTTGAAACCAATAATGTTATACACAAAATATAAAAGTGGTTAATGCTTGGGAACATATTAAATTTCATCATCATTTACTGATTTTTCATGAAAATGAACGGATTTCACTGAACAACCGCTGTTTGGAGTGGTATTATGACGTCACTGTAACATATTACGTCATTTTTATGTAAGTTGAGTTTAGCTTTGACCTTATTGTAAACGAAGCATAAGGGACTTGCATAAATAATGGTAGTTTAAAAATAGTAAAATTTCTCGGCCGCATAGAGCCAATAACGTACTTTGTTCTTTGAAATTCTGTCTGTCTACCCTATGTATTCATTACAAATACATTCTTACCTTCCAGAATTCTGTCTCTAACAATGAAGACATGTTGATGGACTTCCAGCCCCCTGGTGGACTCTGTAACTTCACCGATATTTTGACTTTGTCCTTTTAATCGCTTCAGTAGCGTTGTTATTCCCCTGGATGACTTGGGAGCTTTGCTGACATTCTGACTTTGTCCTCTTAATCGCTTCAGTAGCGTTGTTTTTCCAGCCTCAGCACATCCAACAAGTATTCCTCTGGCATGGGTGACAGTTGTCTTCTCCTTCCTCAGAAACTTCTTCAACTCATCCATATTAACCTCATTTAAATCATCATTGCTTGCACCTGAAAACAATAATATACAATTATAGCTGGTTTTTGAGGTCAATACAATGATTTAGCCATCTGAGGAGTACAATATTCACCGAGCCCGAAGGGTTTAGATCAATTTAGACTTAAATTGATCTAAACCTGTCACTTGATCTAGTCTGTCACCTGTCGTGTTAGTTAAGATGAGATTGCCTTCTTTATCACTGATCCAGACCCGGTCTGTTGACACGAGGGTAATGTTACTACACTCACTAACACCATACACATTGACAGATTTCTGTAACACGTATTTATACATCGCTGACAGTGTATATTTCCTACTCGTCTTTTCCTGTGGTGTCAGAATCCTGTGTTGATTTCTTTCAGTTCGGGAGATTTCTTCTGTAAATTACAACATGCAATCTTAATAATAGGCCCATCTTCATGTTCTGTGTAATGAATCTCTCTAATTCATGCAACTAACTGTTTAGTTCTCTTACAGACTCATTTAAAATATTTTGTTAAAAATCCTTGATATCATAAATTGTTTCCTTTTGAATTATTTAATGGGTCATTATAATTATGTCATTTTAAATCATAGATAAACATCATGTAATACATTTACCTGTACACACATGTAGAATCCTTAGGTTCTACCGACTGTAGGCAAGGTGATCTGGAGGCCTCTATATTAATGGACAGAAATCTGCTGAAAACAATATTTTACATTGTATCATCACGCATATGTATCAGAATTAACATTTTAATACTGTCATATTATTAAAATGAATTACAAATCTCACAACTGTTTAAACACATTCAATAAACCAAAATTTCAATGTGTTTAATTTTCTATAATTATTTCTTTCAAATAATTAAAGATATTAATATAATTATAACACATTATACAGTACATGTATATAACATTCATGTAACATATAAAGCAACATGATAAAGATGTTTACTATACTGATTTCCTTTTGGTGTCCAGTGCATATAGCATATTTGTCCTTGTGTCAATGGTAAGTGTTCTGTAAAGAGATAAAAGGTCATTGTTATACCTTTGAAAATTTGTTCCTATACAAATCTATACAGAAAAAAGACAAACATTTTTTAATGTTTTGCTGAGCGGGCATAAAAAAATCGATGTTGGACCGCTGAGTGAGATGTTGGACCGCTCGGAGAGATGTTGGACCACTTACGTCACAGAATGGGCGGAGCTTAATCTCATTTTCATTCTTTGGTTTTAAAAAGTGACAGATCTAATGTTACATTACGTAATATAGTACAAAATACATGCATGTCAAAATATATATAATAAAATGAAAGGTATAACAAAACATTTATTGACAGAGTTTGAGGGCAAAATGCGTTTTGTCGCCCCCTCGAACCAAATTGTCTGCCTTCGGCCTAACGGCCTCAGGCAGACAGTTTGGTTCTTGGGTCCGACAAAACGCATGTTGCCCTCGAACTCAGTCAATAAATGTATATTATGACACTCTTAACATGTACACTACATATATAGCTAGCTTTGTGTCTAACACATAATAAAATGATGATAACAATATGAATATATAATAATATATAAAGAGCAAGCTGAGCCAGCTCACAAAATTTTAATTTTTTTATTTAATGCTTTACTCAAAGTTATGGACCAGACTCAAATTATACTCTTTTTAGCATCTATATATGTTTATGAGCTTTTACATGTAATACTGTTTGTTGATATTCAGTTACCACACAAACTGATATTTAAATATTATGAATATACATCGGGATCGGTATCCCAAAGAATATTGCGTTGAGTAAAAAGTGGTGTATAGATTTTGAAACATGTATTAACCCATGTAAAATGACAATAATTATTTTAATGAAATGGAGTCCTCTATATAAACAGTGTCAAACATTGTTCATGGTTTAAAAAACATTGGATAAAAAGGATCTCACATGATTTGAAGTTGGATATGATTTTTATGTGATATCGTTTTCGTATCGACACTATGTACTCCAACGCCGTGTGATGTAATGTAAAATTTAATAAACAAATACATGTATATGATGGAGAGAATGACTTACTTTGTCAAATTTCACTTTATTTGATATATCTTAAGTTTTCATTCATAAATTAAAAAAAATAAGCGCTGAAATATTTTCTTTCATTTTTGTATGAACTATTTCATACAGCCATATATTATTTATTACATAATTTGGTGCAAGGTAACCGAAAAAGAACTTTGAATTAGAAAAAAAGACAGAATACACATTTATAGTGAACAAAAATATGTGATAAAAAGAATCTACCACCACAAACCATGGAAGATCCTATTTATGATTATTTCAACTTTTTTTTTTCATTTAAGGCTTAATAATATTATTCATTTGACAGACTCAATCGCAATAAAGTATATGTGGCTGCTTTTTGTGTATTTATGAACTTTTTAATCTACTCACGTGCCAAGTTATATTCAAATCAGATCAAAACTGTAGGAAGATTGTATTTTGGAAATATTTCAAAGAAATTTCTATTTTTCTATTTTTAGTAACCATGGCAGCACAGTTCTTGAAAATTAAAAAAAAAACAGACGGACACCTTACAAAATTTGATCAAACAAGAAGCCCATGGGCCTCAACACTCACCTGAGTACATCTTGCCATTGCTCTTCTTTACCAGATGCCCCCCTCTTGTAATACCTATCGTGACCTCATCCTACCCCAAGGTGTCTTGATTTAAACAATTTAGAATCTCACTACCTAAGGATGCTTTCACATCAGTTTCAGCTTCTTTAGCCCAATTATTCTTGAGAAGAAGATTCAATGTAAAATTGTATTGCCTATTACCGCCCCCCCCCTCCCCAATCCCAAGGGTTCATGGTTTGTAAAATTTAAAATTTACACTACCCAAAGTCAAAAGATACGTCCATACAAGTTTCAGCATTTCAGGCCCTGTAGTTCTTGAGAAGAAGATTTTTAAGATTTTTCCTATATATTTCAATATAAAACTTGGATTCCCTATTGTGGCACCGCTCTTCCCCGAAGGGTCATGATTTGTACAATTAAGAATCTACACTACCCCAAGATACTTCCACATAAGTTTCAGATTTTCTGGCACAGTAGTTCTTAAGAAGATTTTTCCTATGTATTTCAATGTAAAACTTGGATTTCTTATTGCAGACCCGCCATGATTTGAACAATTTAGAATTTAAACTACCCCAGGATGCTTCCATATAAGTTTCAGCTTTGTAAACCAAATGGTTCTTGACAAGGCCTAAAAAAATATATGTTTGTTTCTTGTAACCTGACCGACCCATTCAAATTACCCCCAGGTGGACTTTTTTCTGACAAATGGCAAAACTTTGTTTCATCAATCAGCTGATTCCATTTATCAAAAAAGAAAATGAGCTTGTAGCTTAACTTTAGACATAAAATATGTCAACCTATTTTTCATTTACCTTAGTTATGAAGAGTAACCATTATTATAACAACAATTTCCCCATACAACTTTCTGAAGTTCGTTTTCTGCCGCTAGGCAGCCATTTTGGATGCCATGTTGGGTGTCCACTGTAAATATAAGAATTCCCGACCTACCAACCCTTAATTTTTGGGGAATGTTACAGTAATCAAACATATTTTTTAAGCCTAAGAAGATTTTTAAAGATTTTGCCTATATATGTCAATGTAAAATTTGATTCCATATAGTGGCCCCACCCTACCCTCAGAGGTTATGATTTGAACAATTTCAAATCTACACTATCCAAGGATCCTTCCACACAAGATTTAGGTTTTCTGGTCAAGTGGTTCTTAAGAAGAAGACCTCACTCTATTTTTATCATTTATTCATTTTCTCCCCTTGGTCCTTCATTGATAAAATTTAAACTCCTTTACCCAAGGATGCTTTGTACCATGTTTGGTTAAAATTGGCCTTGTAGTTCTTGAGAAAAAGTCGAAAATATAAAAAGTTTACAGACAGACGGACGCCAGACAGATGACGGACAAAATGTGACCAGAAAAGCTGACTTGAGCCTTCTGTTCACTTGAGTCAGAAGAGCTAAAAATGTGATTCCTATACCCTGCAAGAACTTTGTAGTGGTTTAATAAGAAAATTACATAAAAACAAATGTACCTTATACCACACCAATATCCCCTTGCTCACAGTTGAATCAATCTGTCTCTGACATGTCTGTAGAGAAAAAAAAAGGCCTCGTTACATTTCAGCAGTAAGGTAAACATTTCTTTAGCTTCAGTAACCTGAATTAAAAAAATTATATTTTCCCATATTTATTCTGTGAATATCTGTGAATATTTGATTAAAAATATTCAATTTACGTATATATGAATAAAAGCACTTATAAATTTGTAAATCATTCGCTTATCGTGAATAAAACAAGGTACCTACAGTACTGACCGCACACAACCTAACACCAGAGCGAACCCGGTGCGGGCCCCAGGTTTGCTTCATGGGTTCGCTCGGGGTCCGCTTCGGATTTGCTTTCAGAAATTTTGGGATCGCTCCGGGTGCGCTTTGGGTGCGCTCCGGGTTTGCTCCGCGTTTGCTCGGGGTCAGCTCTGGATCCGCTAGAGCGAACCCGGCGTTCGCTTCCTGGGACTGCTTTACGCACTGATGCGTGAAGCAGACCCAGCTTTTATCTCACCGCCAGTAAGCCCCACTCCTTGTATATTACAAAACAGTAATGGTATTGTGGATCGATCAATGTTGTTTATGCGACGATGCGGACGTGTAAACTGTACATGTACATGTAAACAGTGACATTATGGAGAACATTCATAATTTTTTCTAAATTTAAACTCTTTATTCGACGTAGATTTACATGTACAAGAATAATCGATTTCCTTGATTTCTCTATCCCGAGAAATTCAAACTAGTCTAACAGCGAATTATAAGACAATTTTTCTTAAGTTATAACGAGAAAACAAAAAAAGAAGAGGAAGAAAAAAGGAGTATTGCATTTCAGTATATCGAATGGTGTACAAGTGAAACTGACGAAAGGAATTTAAAGGTTCTTGGACACAGATTTGAAGTTCATATTTTCTCATTTTTTCTGTATAATATCACGAATAATATATTTTTATAGCATTTCACACAAAAACTAATTAAAAATCTTATTTCATTTAAAAGGATATATCAATCAAACCCGCCAAAAAATTTGAAATTTCAATATCTTTTAAACGAAATAAGATTTTTAATTAATATTTGTGTAAAATGCTATTAATATATATATATATATATAATTCGTGATATTATAGAGAAAATAATAACTTCAAATCTGTGTAGAAGTACCTTTAAACTGAATACCTCTTAAATTCATGCTTTATATAGTTTAAAAATACATTTGTTATTCCTTACGTTTTGCTAAATCGTACTTTGATTGTTAACTAAACACGTAAATTATAATATCGCATCTTTAAATTACATGCAACCTTTTGTACATCTTATATATTTAGATTTCATTTATAGTAGTTACACATTAATAGTCCTTAATAAATGTTTACCGGACATTTTTTTTTAAATCAAACTGTACATTAGATCTTTTTCACGGTCAAAATTTTGGAGCGAGGATGATGTTTATTAGAATAATGAAAAGGCAAATAATAATTGTTCTCCCGACCCGATAAGAATATAGTTATATGGCCCCTATTTCACACACACATTATCTTTAAAAAAATCTTATTTTTTAATTATTTTGTTTATGATTTCACAATGTACGTGTTACATTAAATTATCCAAATATACCTTAAAATTGTTGATCTTCTTAATCCTCTTGAGCATGAAAAATGCGTGTATATAAAATTCTTCTTTCTGGATGCACAGATTAAGGTCATTCCGCCCTAATGATATTACATGTAACAAACTAAATGACTTCACAAGAATAAACGTGAATTAGACCCAATTCTTGATGATTCCTGACTTAACAAGATTATTCTTTCAATTTAGTGTGACTCTACAGTTAGTTTGCTTTACCATCTTTCGAACAACCCACATAACTATACATTGCTAACGCCTTTATTAATTATTTTTCCTAATATTTAGTCCTAAAAGATTTCAAAATTTATAATAGATCAAATTCATAAGTGACAATATCCCTTCTATATTATATTTCTCTGATTATTCTTTGTCAAGCATAGTTACGCATTTTGAGAGAATGAAACAATGTAAGATTTACTAAATATTGTGATCAATTAGCGCAATTAATTTGTTCAATTATGAAAATCGCACTTCACCTGATTTCACCCCAATAAACAAGGCGTACTTTATAGCGGTTTGGATTTCTTTCTTTATTTAATAGTATATATATAAATTTCCAATTCAACTTGTCTGAGATGATGAAATTTTACAATAATTGTCGAAGACAAACTTTATTTCCTTTCTCCGCTTTTTGTCAGTAAAAATTGTAATATCAATTGATTTCAATTTTTATGCATTGACTGATGTATTTACCCAATTTATTTAATAAATTGTTGTAATAAAAAAGAAATTAAATATTCTAAAAATATAAAATACAATTAAGATAAATAATTATTAAATAATATTCTAAATAGCACAATAGATTAACACAGCAAATTCATACATTTTACTTGTATGTAAAGTGTTTGGATTTGTGTCAACTTAAATCAACACATTCGATCTTATATCCCAATCGACAGATCAATAGGCTATTTTGATTGGTTAATGCGCTGATTGGTTAATTGCTAATCCTGATTGACAGCTCTGTAAAGAAATATCGAACCCGCGTTAGCTATCTGGGACCGCTACTGAATTTGGGGCCCTAGCGGACCCCGAGCGAACCCGGAGCGGACCCATAGAGCGAACCCGGGGTCCACTCCGGATTCGCTTTCTGTTAGGTTGTGTCCGGTCGCTACTGTATTTAGTGACATTTTCCATTTAACATTTGGATAAAAAAACACAAGGATTCTTGTAATTGAAAAAGTTATAAAATATATTTTGTTTATATTGACTTTGTATGTATACTCTATATAAAATAAAACGTTAACTACATGAGTACCTTATACCACAGTGATATCCCTCTCTTTACAGATGAATTGTTTTTTCTCTGTTACCTGTCTATAAAAAAACAAAGGATTAAATTATCACTCTTCAGCATTAAGGTAAATATTTTGTTAACTATATAACATATCATTCATTTGACTATTTCTGATAAAACATTTTTTCACCTGGATACTCTTCACTTTGGGTCATTGAGCAGTGAGGGTATTATTTGTGTCAGCAGGCATTGCGACACGGGACCTCGGTTCATAGCGTCTCATCCAAATGACTGCTTTCCATGTCCAACAGTTGAATTCCAACTCCCGACTTAAGGTAGGATTCTTCTCTGGTTTCTGACTAGATGAAACATTCAATGTATATTTGCTTATATGTCTTTTATATTGAGGTGTAACGAATTTAAAAGGCCATATTTTTCTTTCCTCATCACAATTGTACAACTTTAAATAGAAATGGTAAACTGCGTTTGAAAATTAGCAGGGACTATATTTTTGGCGGAATGGTGGCGTATGAAAATATCTTCTTTTCTGCCTCTCAAAATTATAATAGAACAATGAATTTAGTTATAATTTTTACACAGTTGAAGACTTGGAGAAATTTTCAAATGTAAGTTAGATTAATAATGAAGGATTAAACTTTCAAAATGTATCAAATAAATATAATTTCTCAAACAAACTAGAGCTTTAATAGCTTTTAAATGCTTCCTATCAAAGTGCAGATTTGAGCCAAAAAATCCATAAAAAGTATTTTTTCTCTCTAAGCAAACGATCAAATTTTTTTTGTTTTTGTATCATTTTGTACAATTATAAGACTACTTTATTATATGCGAAAATTAGAAAAAGTTAAATATAGGAAGCATATGAAAATAACTAATTTATCCTAAAAATTAAGAAAAACAGAGAAAATTCGGATTAGCCAATATCCAGTTAAGTTAAATTATTTATGTAAATTTGGTAATATCATGCTATACTCCCGATATAGTGATATGTTTTTAAGCAAAAAGAACAATCATTTAACTTTTGAAATAGAAGTAGGTATTAGTAGATTGGCAACAGGTATTTCTTATTCTTAATGTCAAGGAGGAAGATAATGACCTTGACCTGACCTTACCTCTAATATTAAATGGTCAAATTTAATTTCACTGATACTATCACTTACTGATATTGTCTTCTAGATTCTGTGAAAGTTTCATTAATTTTTAATTATTAGAAATATGAGAAGAATCCTACCTTAAGGATCAACTCTTTACAATGCAACTCTAGAGCTGACTCTCTGAACGCGCTATTACGAATGTGACGTTGGGGAGCAGGGTAAATGTAAAGTTTATAATTGCTCCCAGCTTGTTTTTGCTAAATAAATCAAAATCCCATTTGTTGTACCAATAAAGTGAAATGACAGAGTTCTTGCTCTAAGGTCTTCTAGTTGAAAATGTACCTGCATAAAACATTTTAATTTGTCGATCATATTGAAATGCACGATATTTGGCGGAACTTGAATTATGAACATATACCAGTAAGCGGAAATTACATTTAAACGCATTCCTTAATGTTCATATTAATGTATACGTATGTATGTGCAAGACATTTAGTTTTGTAGTAGTACTTGCATTAGAGGAAGATTTTCTTGCCACAAGCGCTAAAAAGATCACAAAGCCAAAAGTAATACGTTTACAGTACATACAGAACTGTACTACAGATCTAATATTGAACGAAAGAGGGTAATATTGAAATGCAAGCTGTATTGAGTTCTTAAAAGTAGAACGTGAGTCTAACTGAGCATTTCCACCAAAAGTCAGACAAGTGCATTGTATCGGCATGACACATGACAATTGTACCGAAAAATGCAATTTTACCTTATTGTGTGAACTCTATAAAATTTTATCGTACAATTTATATTATGGGCTTATTAAGGGCTTATGAATTAAGTAAAATGCATCCAGAGAACTTGATTTGGAATTCTAAAGAAGATTTAGAGATATACACGGCTAGTATTTAATTGTAATCAGAATATTAAAACTCAGTCACGTCGAAAACGTTGATCTTGTGTGGGTAGATTATGACCTCCAACACGCAGAATCAGCTTGCATAATCAAGTGAGGACCTTTCTATGTGCAATTCCATTTGTAACATTATATGCATTAAATTAATGTAAGGTTTATG